TGCGGGCGTGGGTCTGGGAGTCCGGAGGAAGGGGTGTTCTGGTGGGGGTAGAGGGGTCCAGGAGGGGTTGGGGTGGGGTCCCTAGTCTATGGGGAGGGGTATAGGGAGGGATCCGGGGGTGGGGTAAGAGGGCTATAAGGGGGTCCAGGGGGGTCCTGAGAGCTGGGTGGGTCCCGGGGGGAGGGTAGAGGTCCGGGAGGTATAAGGGGTCCTAGGGGCATATAAGACCTCTAGGGTATACAGGAGGGGTCCCAGGGACTATGGGGTAGGTGGGCTATAGGGGGGTATGGGGGTGTAGGGGACTATAGTAGTGTATGGGGGCTATAGGGAGCCTGGAGGCTGTAGTAGGTCCAGGGGACTATGGAAGGATTTGGGGGCTATACAGGGACATATGGACGTCCAGGGGGTCTAGGGGAGGCTATAGAGGGTACTGGGCTCTAGGGAGTCCAGGGATCTATATGGGGTATAGGGGTATAAAGGGTGCAGGGGGCCAATAGGCAGGTATAGGTGGGCCCAGGGGCCTATAAAAGGGTATGGGGGCTATAGGGACTCTTACCTGCTCGGCAGCAGGCCCCGGGGGCAGCAGATGTGCTGGCTGCTCGTGCTCCAGGTTGCGGGCGCTAGGGTCGGCGCCGCGTGCCAGCAGGAGGCGCACCAGGGTGGTGCGGGGGACGGAATCAGGCAGTGCTGCTGCCATGTGCAGTGCCGTGTGCCCGTGGGCCTGTGCAGGGTGGGGGGGGGCCCAAGGTCAGGTGCCTGCTCTGGCACCCCCACCCCCACAGCCCCCGGGGGCACTGCACTCAGTCTAGTGCCCCCTGGTAGCCCCCACTGGCAGCAGACCATTGGCCACGGCAGCCCCCCCCGGGGCGAAACAACCGCCCGGGGGGTAGTGCCCCCTGGTAGCCCCCACTGGCAGCAGACCATTGGCCACGGCAGCCCCCACTGGGGCAAATACAGCCCTGGGAGGTCCCGTTTGCTACTGCAGGTGCCCCACAGTTGCTCCCCTAGCCCCTACAACCTCACTTCAGTGGTCCCTCATGGTATTGCACCTGATCTAGCACCCCCTAGTGGCCTTCCTTGGCCACTGCTGCCCCCAACAAGGCAAATACAGCCCTGGCACCCCGGGGTGCCCCATTGGCCACTACAGGAACCCCCCTGTTGCCCCCCCTGCCTCACCTTCATGTTGATGAGCCGTGGGGCAGCCGGATGCTGCAGAAAGAGATCCACCAGGGATACGTTCCCCTCCTGCACGGCCAGGTGCAGTCCTGTCTTGTTGCTCTTGAGGTCCTGGGGGGGAAAAGGTGGGGTTGAAACTGCCCCATTGCTCTCCCCCCATGCCCCGAGTGTCTGGGGGTGGGGGCAGAACCCAGGCGTCCAGGGACCTGGCAGTGGTAGGAGTCGAGGGGGTCCCCGGTGGGTCTCCAGGGGCATCCCAAGTGTCTGGGGGCACCCCTGTGGGACCCAGGCATCCGGGCGGGTACCTGGCTGGTGCAGTCGGCCCCCATGCGGAGCAGGGTGGTGACGCAGGCAAGACGGGCAGAGGGGGTGACGCCGGGTGCCACCACAGCACAGTGCAGGGGGGTCTGTCCTGTGGGGGCAGAGGGGTCACACCCAGCTTGATCCTTGACCACTGACACCAACCTCCTCCCATCCCTGTGTCATTCCCCAGACTTCACCCTGCGACATTCCCCGCTCCCCGATCCCACTGCTATGATCTTTGACTGCCCCCAGTGCAGGGGCCTGAGCCTTGACTCCTGACCCAGCATGCCTCTGACCCCTCCACCCTGCGGTGCCCCCCCATGTCTGTCCGAGCCCCCACCCCCCAGCTGGGGCTCACTAACCTTCGAAGTTCCTGGTCTCCACATTGACCTGGATGCCCGAGGTCATCACAGCCTGGGGAGGGGGAGGGGGGTTAGAGGTGGGAGTCCTGCATGCCTGGGTTCCCTCCAGCTCGGGGCGGGGAGAGCAGGGGGGCTGGAGCCCGGGCGCCTGGGTCATCTCCACGCTGGGTAGATGGTGGGATCTGGGCTGGGGGGTGGGGGTGTCCCAGACGCCTGGGGGAGGAGGGGGTCCCGGACGCCTGGAGCACGGTGCGGCCGCGTTGGTCGGCGGCATCAGCCTCGGCCCCCAGCACCAGGAGGTCACCCACGATCCCGGCCTGTGCTGCCGCTGCCGCCACCAGCAGTGGAGTCTGGGGGGAGAGGGCCGAGGGTCAGCCTGACCTTTGACCCCTGGCCCCAGCCTCCACTATCCCTGTATCACTGCAGTGACCCCACACTGGGGCATGCCCCCCTGACCTCTTACCCAGCCCTGCCTCTATTCCCAGGATCTTTTTTTGCTTTCCTACAGACATCACGACACTTGACCTTTGCCTCTGGGCTCCTCTGTCCCACTCAGGGTCGAGACCTCTGAACATGACCCCTAATATGGCCTCCAGCCACTGGTAGGACCCTTAGACCCTGTGTAACCTTTGACCCCAAGGGCCCCTAAGCAGTCACCTCTGTCCCCGTCCCCTCAGTGTTACAACCCCTGACCCCACACATAATAGCTTGACCCCTGACTTCTTGTGACCTCTCACCCCAGGCCTTCCTCAGTGAGGTCATTCTATGCCCCGCCCAGCTCTGTGACCCCCCCATGTGGCCTCTGGCACATCCCCCAACCCTGTAGGGCTCTGACCTCTGACCCCACCCCCAGGGTGTGTCCCCTGACTTGAGGCACCCCTGTCCGGCTCACCTTGCCCTGGTGCTCTCTGATCTCCAGGCCCCCAACACCCTTCACGACCTCGGCGACGGCCCAGGCCCAGGCCCGGAGCCCCTGGGCAGCCAGGAGGTGCAGCAGCCTGGGGGACATGGGGGTCAGCACAGCCCTCAGCCTGGGGCCCATCACTCCTGAACCACAGCCCCCCAGTGCCCCTCACTCCTGACCTGCAGCCCCCCCAAACCCACGGTGCCTCCCACTCCTGACCTGC